GAAAAGCACATCAGTTGGATTTAACTAATTTTGGACAACTCTTCAGGTCATTTTAATAATTGGGGATTGTGGAGCTTTGAGAAGAGATGATCTACTAATGATAACGATTCAAAGTCGAAGATTTTTTGTGAAGTATGTCAGGGAAAAATGTGTTGGCTTCAACAAAATAAGGAATGTGACAAAAGAAATAACAACTTATCTCAATTTGCCTCATCCGGAAACTTATACAAGACACTGTTTTAGACGTTCTTCCACCACTCTGTTAGCCGATGCAGGGGCCGATATTACCACCATTAAACGAAAAAATGCAAACTATCTTTTCAGAGAAATAGATATATTTTTTAATTTTTAATAAAAAATTATAACAATTTCACAAAGTTAACGTGCTTTTTTATCTTCGTCGTAAAACAAAATTTCTAAAGCAACTTTTCATTATTTTAAAAAATCTATCGAATGGCATAGAAAAAAATTCTTTTAGTGTTAAATCATAAAAATTAACGATTAAAAAATTGAAATTGTTATATTTTTTTATTAAAAATTAAAAAATATATATTTCTCTGGAAAGAAAGATTACATTTTTTAGAGCAGACCGTAAAAAAAATTATAAAATTAATTCATTTTTCTGCTTACTATGATTTTTTAAAATTTCTAAAATCATCCCTTAACTTCTAGCTACCCTAATTCTGTTAATTTTAATAGTACAAGGAAAAGTCATTAGACCATTTTTATGTAGAATTTTACGCTCTACTACTTTTATAAGAAATATTTTTTTCTAGCTCTTACTTCTTCTGGGTTATCTTGAAAAACCTCTAACTTATACCAAAAATTTAGGCAAGTTGACCAATTTGCGATTTAAAGGCTCATTTAAATTGGACTATAACTTTCAGGATCTGGCATAAATTTAACTCACCGCAAAATCGGCACTTCCAATTTACATGTAGTGCAAAATAAATTGTAATCGTTCTGTTTGTAATAGTTACTGTTTTGTATTGAAATGTTATACATGTTACTTAAAATGTATATTGTTTAAATTATTTTGTTTTATGTCATAGATCCAAAAAGACTGGCGTTCTAGAACATAAAAGTATTTTGCAGCTAGATGACAAAAAAGACGCACTTTGTCGACTGAAAACTTAACGAGAAAGTCGACTTTTGATGACAGTTTTCGAAAAAAAAAAAATTATTATCAGCGTTATCAATATCAATAGTTTGTTTTCGCACCATCAGGATTTCTTTCCTTATGTCATTTTTGACGAACGCTTTGCAAATATTTACAAATTGTACCGCGGTAACAGTAGAAAATAGCCATTGAATACGTTTAATTGTGTGTAAACATCGTTATGCGGGATTACTTTTTCATTACTAGTTATTTTTTTGCCACAAAGGAACATTTCCTAATCGCTATTAACTGCAGATTAGCCACTTTTTTTTCCGTCTAATCCCATCGCGCTGTAACCGATAATTTCGAAACCAAATCATCAAACTATTTAGAATCTGTTACAGCCGAGACGCAACTTATTATTTCTTATTCATCCTCGCGATGCCCCCTGCATTTTAGAAGGCTCATTAGAGCCGAATGCCGAGTCACGGGTAATTTGATTCGAAAATATTTAGCAAACGAGGTTTTAATGCTAATTCTATTACTAATGTAAATCAGGGGTAAGCCGCTGAGGCAACTCTCTGCCGTAACGACGAGGTTAAGGCTCAGGCGAAGTCGCCAGCGGACTGTCAACTCGCTTTCCAACGGTTTCATTGTCACGGTTAAGTCTCGGTTGTGAATTTCGTTAGAAAAACCGCGAATGTCACAATGTTGTGGGTGTAATGCAAGCCATTGTCTCTGTCTTGTGATTAGTTGCATAACGCGGCCCTGTCGTTCGTTGGGTACGCTGAGAAAACAGACCACTTGCGATTTTTATTTAAAAAATGTCTTAATCGGTTTCCTGAACGAATTCCTCAATGTCGTTGTAACAGATAGGCTAATTTTCCTAAAATATAAGTCACCATGTGAAAAAGTCATACCAGTGCTAAAAAAATGTCTTATTTTTGCAGTAATAGCGCTGTTTCACTAATTTTTTAACACCCTATATCTCGAAAAAATAGCGCTTCCTAGCATATGTTTGTAAAAAGTTTATTTTATCTAATTCGGATGTTCTCGAATATTATTACTGGGCAAAGCATTTTGGTGTCTCTCTGTATATAACAAAAGTATTAAAAATTAATCAAAAAGACACTTGCAAAAGTTGAAAATACATTTTTTTGATACACTGTTAAACCCTTCATAAGCTTTGTGTGAACTTTTTTTTGTTATTACCATAGCAACGCCAGTCTAAAGGACGCCATTTTGAAATATTTAAATTGTCATAACTTCTAAATGCCTGTACCGACTTCAAGAAACGACGGCTCATTTTAAAAGAACTATTAATAAAATTTACTTTTATGATATGGAAATAAACGTATTATTTTCCTGAGCAACGATAGACGACGCTAATCAGAAAAGTTTTGTAATTGTCCCTGTTTACTAAAGCAAAACAAATACACAAATCGGAGGTTAAATAAATCTTTATTCCCATGTCATAAAAATGAATTTTATTAATAGTTCTTCAAAATGAGCAACCGTTTATTGAAATCAATTGAGGTATCTAGAAGTTATGACAAATTAAAAATTTCAAGATGACGTCCTTCATACTGGCGTTGCTATGGTAATAACAAAAAATAGTTCAAAAAAACGACAATATTCTGTAATACTATACTAGTTGCGCCCCCTAGCCGTGAAGTTACACACTTGAAAATATCTTAAATCAATTTCATTTGGTCGTAATTGTTAATAGATATTTTACCCCATGATCATAGCACGTCTAGTTTTCTATATACAGCCGCTCCGCACCGTTAATGGATCACCCTGTATATACAGTTTGACCTTTAGATACATATATCAATAGTTTATTGCAAATACCGTGAAAACTTAAATTTTGTATCCTTTTTTTCGTAATTTTCTTTACTGGACAAGCTAGTATAACTTCAAACTACAGCGCGTTTTAATCGCAGAGCATGCGCAATTGAAAATTGGGCTGTGCATTGTTGTCAAAACTAATTTAAAAACCAAATTTCTGCACCACTCGCCTGGATTTTTTTTATTTTTTAGCATTAATCGCAAAATGATATAGTTATATATTATTACATATTCGGAAAGCTTATGAGCTTATTTAAGTTATAAAAAAAATCGTCAAGATTCGTTGAAAAACAACGGAGTTACAGACTCTCAAAGTTGACGGCCTATTGTTAAACAAATTAGGTTGGCAGCGGCAAAAAATAATACTGTCATAACCGGCAACCCGAGTACTTTCCCAGATAAAAATATTTTATTTCCTGCCGTTAAATAAGCGAAATTCGCTTGAAAATAATATATTTGATAGTCTGTAACTCCGTTGTTTTTCAACGAATCTTGACGATTTTTTTTTAACTTAAAGCTCTAGGCTAGTTTTGTAGGTCTTTTGAAGACGAAAAAAAGTACGTTACTGTTTTCTCGTGGAAATGAACGGAAAAAAGTTATAAGCGAAAAACTTTAATTTACGTAAAAATTATACAATTAACCAGTCTATAAACAATCTTCCCCCCATTTTTATGACTGTGGAAACTAATATGTTATTGTACATGATATTTAGCATCTATAGTGATAAATTCAGCTTGCCGAAACAAAAAGTCGCGTCCAACTCTATATTTTCTGGCCTATTTTATCTATTTGTGCTATAGCCCGGGTGTCCTTTATAATAGAAATAGAATCTTAAGGATTTCATCTGTTTGATGCAAAGTTCTTGTAGGTCTATGGTTAATATGTTAATATTTTCTAAGTCTGTTATTATTATTATTATTAGATTCGCAAACCTAGCCTGTTCTTTGAGTGTACAGTCCGTGTCTCCGTCGTGTGTCCGATTTGCATAACGGCAGCCCCCCGATTTGAATATAATTGCATACAATTAGTCGCCGATTACACAGTTGGCCGGTGGAGCGGCGTGGCGGGAAAGTGCTAAAGTGCGTCGCGGGCGAGCTAACCCGAGCACGACTTACGTCACTGGGCTTCCGACCCACTGAACTAGATGGGCAGCGGGCCGGCGAGGCCCAGCGCGGCCGCCCTAAACAATGCCCCTATGCGCAATTTCACTTTTATTGCGGCGTTACGCAAGCCCCGTCAGGAAACCGCTCGTTCGCGTCGATGGCACAGGAAAACGCCGGTCTCTTAACAGCTACACCTCCATCAGATAAAACCTAACATGCAATTATGCCAGCTAATATATCTAATTATCTGTTGCCTAGCCCAATAAGCTGTTGTTTGTAAACGTTAAGGAACCTTTTATTTGTAAGTCAATCAACGGATAAATCGGGTGGGAGATACGGTTTCGTTTTCCGTATTATTAAAATGATGTCGAATCTAATTGTTGCTTTATGTCTTACAGTTCTACATGCTGAAAATGGATCTTAAATGTGTACGTGCTGTGATTCACCTTAAAGAGGTCGATAGTGGCACGATTTATTTATGAAAGATACATCAAAACTTCAAGATGAACTCAAAGTTAATAACACACTTACGTGTCCATAATGACTTTACAATCTTGTACCTATTTGAAGTAGAGAACTGAAAGTCTAATAAGCCATATCTTGACCAAATAATATGTTCGTATTAGTATAATAAATAGGTATATAATATAAAACCTTTTTTTTGCACAGAAAGATATGATTTTGCTGGTTACAATACGCAGAATATTGGGAGTGTATTGCAAAAATTGACCAAATGCTTTTCACTTAGACTACTTTCAAAAGTTCATGCCATTTAAACATTGGTTTGTTTTACTCTTACAGGAAACTCTTTCAAGTTTCGAAATATCTGCATTGGGAGATGTACGTGGCACACTCTACATCATAAACGTTATTACAAACATAACCATAACAATAAATACATAACGATAAACGAGTGACATTTTTCTAATTCCGTTCTTTCTTTCCAGTCATTCTTTGGAAGATCATACAACAACCTGAGCTCCATCTCCGAGTGCAAGAACAACGGCGAGTGCATCATCAACAAGAAGAACCGGACAGCCTGTAAAGCGTGCCGCCTCCGCAAGTGCCTCCTAGTGGGAATGTCCAAGAGCGGATCACGCTATGGTCGCCGCTCCAACTGGTTCAAAATCCACTGTCTCCTCCAGGAGCAGCAGCAGCAACAACAACAAGCCGGTTTGAACATGCAACAGGGCATAAAACCCCCACAGAAGACGCCACCACTCCACCACCAACCGCTGGGGATGGGTTTGCTCGGAGTCAACGGCTTTCCTCCGCCTCTCCTGCACTTACCCAAGACCAAGGAGGAGCTCATGCTGCTAGGCCTTGATGAATACAAAAACTCAGCTTCCCCTTCGGTCAGCTCCCCTGAATCCCACAATTCCGATTCGTCTGTTGAAGTCAGTGATGCAAGGAGGTTACCGTTGTTTCCAGGACTATTACCCCCGACCTTCCTCCCACCCCCAGGTCTGTTGTTCCCTCCAGGTTACCCTCCCTTATACCCCGGGTTGCTCCAACCCGCCAACAACAACAACAGATTGATGAGAAACCACAACCCCGGCGTGGAAGCCTTCAACAAAAGAGTGTTCCTAGATGCCGTTTTGCAGTCACAGCGATCCCCAACTCCCGAGGAAGTAGAGACGCCGGTCCCCGCCGTGTCTCCCATCCAAGAGGATCCCATCGACCTTTCCATGAAAACCGCTAGCGAGAGGGGGTCTTCCCCGGCGCACAGCGACCGATCCGGAAGCGTCGTCACCGAGAGGGGCAACGGGAGCGAGGCGGACGAGGAGAGCGACTGCGAGTCCGAGAAGGAGCTGAAAAGGATAAAGATCCTGCGGCCCACTCCGCTGGACCTCACGACGAAGGTGTGACTGGCAGCGGCCTGACCACCACTGTGTTCTCCGGGGTACCTGGTGCGTCGTGACTCGCAGAGATGCATTACACATCACAAAGGCGGCTGTGCGCGTCTCACGCAGGGTAATGAGCTTGCACATAACATCAGACGTGCCGATCATGCCGTCCGGGACGATTCCGAGGTGTTTGCTATGAATGCGCGACGGCAACGCGGAATTTTTATTGTCGATCGATCGATCGCAGCGAAAGTTAATTGTTGGGTATTGTCTTAGGAGACGTTGATCTAGATCGAAGTTGGACAGCTGCACCTCTGTCCAAAAGCAATGCCGCTGGATGTGGCCGAGGATGACTTAGGGCCTCCATCAACGTTTCGTGATTGTCAGATACAAGGTGTCCCGAAAATATCAAACCACTACGAACCGAAACAATTTTTGTTGCACGTTCCACGTCCAATCACCGAACTTCACCACCTCCAAAAGTGTGCTTGTATTTAAAGAAAGCTATTGTTGTTGCTACGTCTGTGATATTTCTGTCTACCATTGTGATCTGTCACTTAACAAAAGTTCATTTGCCAACACAGACAGCCTGTAATAAACAACATCAAAATACAGAATGTAGTTTTTCATTTAACCATAGGCAATCCTCCGCAATTTCTTACAGGTCTTTGGACCAGTATAGATGAGTTCTATGAACCCCAATGCAACTTTTCTTGTTATATTATGACAAATTTACCATCGCCCAAATTTGTGATCTGTTTCGAACAAAAGGACTTGTTTCTCTGAATACGGAAAGGTACTCTGTTCATCAAATTTTTAGTATTGTAAAAAGAGATAGTTTTTAATGAGCTTTCTGCGAGACAATATGATTGTTTTAGTTAAAATTTCTTGTAAATACGCCCGTGTACATAGTATTTAAATTATATTAAACTGTAAAAATTGTCTAGTGATAAATGCTCCGTTTTTTTACGAGAATGATGTAGGCCAGTATGTATCTAAGATAAGCTTTCCTAAACGATTTGTTAGTTAATGTACATATGAACTACTTTTCTATCAAGCAGTGCAATGTTGAGATCTGTTTTTAATTTATTTATAAATAGCCGGTTCTTCTTTTCCGGCGTTGTAGTTAGCGAATATTGTTATGCGTTTCTGTAATTATATCTTTAAAGAGACCCAGTTCCTGGGCAACTATAAGTTGGGCATTTTTTATTCGAATTGTAAATGTATTTTATTTTATATGTTTTGTTAATATTGTGTGCGTTCTGATAGCTATCCTGTCTGAAAATAGGGGACTAGGGCCAGTTGTGCGTGCGCGTGTGTTTGATGAATGCCTGCGTACAGTTCGTGTTGTAATAAAACAAAATAAAAATATAATTGCGACCCCACGAATTTTATTCCCCACCCCCCAACCTTTTCCACAAGTAGTTCACCTAAAAATGCAGAGAAAGCGACAACAGAAATAAATATAGCTCAAAGTAATGTTCCATTTTGTGTTTTTTCTTTAGTATAGTTCAAAGGAAACATTGCATGAATTAGTACAAGTTACAAGAGGTAATATGTTAAACTCCACTTCTATGTTCAAAATAGTTTCATAAATCAAATAGTTTAAATGTATCTTTTAGAATAACGTCAACGAAACAATTATTTAGAAATTACAAACGAAGTTTCTAGTAAAACCAAAACTGAAGTAATTTGAAATAGCCACGTATTTGACGAAATTTTAACCAGTGGTCATTAATGAAATAAATTTATACATTTATAGGATAATTATTTATAAGTAATTAAAATTCCAAATTGTAACACAACTGTTTCTGCTTCTGCCACACAAGTCATTGATTTCTAAACTAATTCTGGACACTGAAATGATGATGATGAAAGATATTACAGACTGTGTTCTAAATATAAGAAACATGGAGATATATAAGATATATATAAGATAGGATATGTATAAGATAACATGGTTAAATTTGTTTAAAAAAAACATAAAAATGAGCAAACAACTATTTTAACACAGGTGATCCTAAATTGTCTCTATAATTTCAAGATGGGTAAATACATCAAAATATGAGGGTTTACCTTATTATTCTTGTACATGTAAACGTTTCTCTAAAAATAGTAGTGATATACAGGGCGAGTCAGAAAGAATGGGTCAACAATAAGCTGGAGATACTAGACACCAAAATATTAAATACATAAATACGGGGTGTTCAAGGTTTAAATTTTATTTTGAAATTTCTCAGTAATTAAGAAAGTTTTAATAGTATGACTCTGAAAATTGGTTATTGGGTTTTTTGATGTGAGAATTACGAATATGACTACTAACACTACCAAATTTCATGCTATCAAACATAATATTTTGGGTGTCTAGTATCTCCAGCTTAGTATTGACCCATTCTTTCTGATTCAACCTGTGTATGCAATTAAAAGGCAAAGGTAGATATATATTTTTGTAATATCTTGCAGGTCTTTCGAGATATCTTATTTATATTTTAAACTTAGACTTGTAAATCCCCATCATGCCTAAAGGGGGTCATAGTCAGTATTTCATTTCAGATTATTTAATTTTTATTCATGTTTTAAGTCTTTAATAAATATAAATGTCTGCATTATTAGAGAAAAAAACTGTAATCCTATTTAATTGTGATTTTCTAAGAAGTTTGTTTACGTATAAGGTTGCTCCTATAAACTATACTTATAGAAATTTATTTTTAATTTCTGATTTCAGTAAGATCTCAGACAAGTATTTGGAAAAGGAAGTACATTATCTTGTTGCTATTTATATATTTTTTTTCAAGCTATAACGAAACTAGCATAGGTACTTATTTTACATAAATTGTGGCAAATTATAACATTTCAAAGCATATTCGTTGGAAGATATGAAATATCTTAAAAGACTTTTAAGATATTGCAAAAAATTTTACTGCCATCATATTTATTTATTTACGAATACCAGCTATACTTGAAAAACAAACAAAATATGGCCGTAAATATACGTTATATCCGTCATCCATTTAAAGAAAAAAAGATATATGCATTATTTTTACCACCTACGATTTAGTAAATTAATACAAATTATTCCTTGCGTAAGAATAAGCTTGTTTTTAAATATTCAACTAAATTAACAAGTGTTGGCAAATACTACTATAAAAATTAAAAGTCCTATGTCGACAGGTTCTATTTATCCTGGAAAAAGGACTTAAAATAATACATATACATTTGACAAATGGAACACATTCTCTGTGAGTGCATTAAAAAGTTGACTTTCTTAATTTAATAAACCTAAATATTTTTATTACGTACAACATCAAAAAAATCATAAAGATAGAAGTGTTGCTATTTTTGCCGCTCATCATAATTGTCATAAAGTAGGATTCATACCGAGACTCATAATGTGATAAAGAGCATGTATAAAATACGAGTTGGGAGAACATCCATCTTACCAACACGTACATACATGCGAACACACAAACATTCCTTATGGAGATGAAACTAAAAGGATCAGATGTTATTGCGTTAACCTCTGAACCACCAACATGGGCGTTATCGTAATACATAATTTATTTATAGATGCACTTTAGTAATGAAATTTCTACGCAGGCTAGTGTCCCACGATATTTCGACTATATTTCAATTTCATTACTTCCCACATGTTGTTTATAATTGTTTGTGGAGTTTATTGCAAGTCCGCTTGCCCCGTACATCACGAAAAATTAAACGTTTGTTGCGTCACTGACACGAAATCGATTTGACTTCATAAAAACGCGAAACCTTTTTAATCTTAAGCGGCAGCTCCCTGAAATTTTTACGGGACGATGCCTTAGCTAGGAATCCTCGACCTGCCCTTGTTGCTCTCGGGGTAGGCTGTGCGGGGGCCGACCAGCTATTAGAATCCCTTTGTACCACAGATTAACTATTTCTTCATCTTTTGTAGAAGTTTTGATGCTTTTTGTTTTATTATGAAGCGGTTTTTAAGATTTGAAGCATTTTGTTTCGTCCTGAAATATTTTTAATTTAATATTTGTCGATATTTTGTGTAATTCTCTCGTATTGCTATCCTCAAATAAAATTTCACGCACTTGGGACTAAGAGAGACCTAAATCGTAACCATATTTTAGTAAGCTCTTTGGAGCTGGAGGAAAGCTGAATCGCATAGCGTCCATTCTTGCCGGGAGAGCGGCGAATTTATATTATAATTCGCCAACCGGTTTGAGTCTCGAATAATTGTAATTCTATACACTGCGATATGCGCGACGCGAGCAGTTTGATCGTACGACATCAAGTTTTAATCGAGGATTTTGCTGGCCACACAATAAGCATCGTCGGTATTACCAGGACTATTGGGGATTTACTTCGTAAATGGATGAATTTAAATTATATTCAGTCCCTTTGTAAATACTTAATCAAGACTCGAATAAAGATCGAATGTTAAGATAATAATTCTGGATTCAAATGAATAAAATATTTTCAACTATTATACAGGCCGAAGATATAATATACAGGTGACCCAAAATTAGTATTAAATAATTAACCAAGAGATAATACAATCTACTTAATGCGAGTTTATTTTTTCCCATATTTTATTACAAGATGTAAAAAATACTAGAAGATTTATTGAGTTCATAAGCAGGCCATGAATAGATTAAAACATTTTATTAAAATGTATTTGTCTTCATTTGAATAAAGAACCATTTCAGATTTGAGTTAACACGCTTCTAATAATGTTAAATGTCAAACTTGTTTGTTTTCAAAGCCTTCTCAGTAAGGAAACTTAAATATCGTTGGTATTTTGAAAATTTTATATTTCCCGCAAATTTACACAAAAAATAAAAAGTAAGGTATATATTATTGGATTGTATTTTAGCCCTCTTTCCGTTTTTGAAATAAAATACATGGTGTTCCATATAAAAAATAAAAGTTGTGGTCATATCGCAAAAACTAAATATATTGTCACATTTTTTTATGCCACCGAATCTATATTAAAAAAGTGTATGTAGAATTTTCAAACCGTCTTAAGATATCTTGAAAGGGAAACAAAAAAAGGACACCTGTAGCTCGAAAACAGTAGCAGATAGAGATGCGGTTTGCGCCATTGTTATTTTCTCGAAAAATGAGCTCTGGACTCTCTATCAGATTTGCTCTATCTATGACAGATTGAAATCCGACCAAATTGAATCGCTCGGTACCAACTTTACAAACATTTAACTAAGTAACTGTTTTTATGCATAGACCATCAGCATGCAAAAAAATTATGGCCAATTAAATATTCTCCATGCATTTTCTTCGCTGGACACGACGCATAGCAATTTTAATCCGTATTTATTTAATTGTTAAACGGACTTTATTAACCAAAACAGAAATAATTAAGCCATTTAACAGCCTCCTCTGCTTCGGACATAAATTCCCTTTCTTACAGTTGAAGTTCGTGTTGCTAAACTTGCAGTTGTAAAGAATGCATTTGCTAGAATCATGAATACTAACTCCCAGTGTTGCAATTATTATAATTATGCTAATGGTAAACACACAAGGGCGATTTTATCAGTCAGTTACATTATTTATGTGCTCAACTGGGTTAGTGGAACTTAATTATTTTATATAGATGACTTGCTGCTTTGTGATTTACATTTCGTTCCTTTTTAGGCCAGGGCGTGCATAGGTTCCAAGATATAAGTGAAAAACTCAGATAAAATAGGTATTTTTTTAAATTTTTTAAACATTGTTGCAATTTTAAAAATCTTCCGGACATCGCTCAGATCTAGATCTACACTTTTACTATGTGAGTAGTACTGAATGTATTCCAGCAAAAATTAGCTATGGAATTCAATACCAGTAATACCAAAGAGCTTTTGTTCTGCAATTTCGATATTTTGTTTCCCATTTACAATACCTTACGTTGAGAATGTTCCAAAAATGGTGCTTCACGTCAATCTTCTTCAGTGTCCCGACAACAATTTGAAACAAAGACAGGCGAAATTGTACTTGGTTAGACAGACAACACGTCCATCTCACGAAACGTTTGCAATTTTTTGCACTTGTAACGGACCATGTTATTAACATATTACGAATACGGTTGACCCAGCTGCAAAATTTTTTACATCGTAACTATGAAAATTTCACTTGAGTGAGGACCAATGAAGATACAGGCGTTTCAAAAGTCAAGTATGAGGTCAAACCTAACATTTGTTTTTTTACAGAATTAAATTTAAGTGACATTCAATATAATATTGTCATGTTGTATTAAAAGCAAAGCTTAAGGCATTAAAAAATCAGTTTTGAATAATCCTTAATTGAAAACATGTATGGATTTATTATGATTGCAATATATTACTATTTAATTTAATAAAAGGAAAAACTGTTCTATTTTACATCTTACGGAAAAGAAGCATACACTTTTTCATGTAACCAAAAACAAT